CACCAGTCTCAGCCAGCGATTTTGTTAAATTTTTGCTAAGGCATTCCCTTCAAGATGCAGCCATTCATGACCATTCTGAACACGTGGAAGCCTCCGCGAGTTCTGAGCAGAAAGTGCAGGGGGATTGCAGGGCAAGAGCCAAGTCTAACTGGGCCAAGAAGTGCCCTGGAAAGGAGGAAAAGGCTTGCAAGGCCGCACCCGAATGCAAATGGTGCGGGACATTTGGCTTTTGCTGAAATGTCTGAACATCAGCCTCCCTCAGGATCAGTCAGCATCGTTTCAACCAGCTCGTTTCCACATTGCTGGCTTTGATGAAAAAGAGCGGTGTTAATTTTGCCGGGATTTGATAGGAATTTAATGGGAATCCAGTGAACATATAGTGAAGATAGAACAATATATGGGATGATTTTGTTTTTGCCAGGATCCAAAACATACTAAGACTATAGGATATACGTGATATAAGGATCAATTCCACTACATCTTTATGTGCGAGGAATAATTTTCATGTATTTTCCCGCATACAAGTTCCAAAATCGTATATTGATACATTGGTGTTGCTGTGGGGCCTGAATTGCCCGATAAGAGGCTATTCCAACATATCGCTAAGGTTACTTTCTTCGAGTGATCCCAACCTTGACACATTATTCCGACATGGTTTCAATCTTTTTGGATTTACTGTAGGGGATCCGCCATGAGATGTGAAATATTCAACAGAGATCAACAGAGCCCCCCGCAAGATCTCCATGCTCATGGGATAACCAGCCCACTTGGTCGTCTGATTCATGATTCAGATCCTGGTTTGTGTTCCCAGAGCTTTTGATTCAAGATTGCCTCCTGGCCTTGAAAGTTTGCCCCGTTGTCTCCATTGTCAGACTCCTGTGCAATGCGCGCTGTTTGGACGGTGCTTTTCTTCGTTGTTGCTGTTGCCTTGCGTCCAGAGTGCCTTTGCCAGATAACACCCCAAAGAAAGAGATGCTGCAACTTGTGTGTGTCTAGTATTCGCAGCAGGCTACAGATTGCATTGAAGATTATCAATCAAGATAACATCCATGGTCCATAGTCCACAACATACCTTTGGAGAATCTGGGTGCCAATCATTGAGCTTCACCAGTCTTAGCCTGTTATTTTGCTAAGGCATTCCCTTCAAGATGCAGCCATTCATGACCATTCTGAACACGTGGAAGCTTCCGCGAGTTCTGAGCAGAAAGTGCAGGGGGATTGCAGGGCAAGAACCAAGTCTAACTGGGCCAAGAAGTGCCCTGGAAAGGAGGAAAAGGCTTGCAAGGCCGCACCCGAATGCAAATGGTGCGGGAAATTTGGCTTTTGCTGAAATGTCTGAACATCAGCCTCCCTCAGGATCAGTCAGCATCGTTTCAACCAGCTCGTTTCCACATTGCTGGCTTTGATGAAAAAGAGCGGTGTTAATTTTGCCGGGATTTGATAGGAATTTAATGGGAACCCAATGAACATATAGTGAAGATAGAACAATATATGGGATGATTTTGTTTTTGCCAGGATCCAAAACATACTAAGACTATAGGATATACGTGATATAAGGATCAATTCCACTACATCTTTATGTGCGAGGAGGAATTTTCAAGTTCCAAAATCGTATATTGACACATTGATGTTGCTGTGGGGCCTGAATGTGAAACTTTACCATCTTGCCCGATAAGAGGCTATTCCAACATATCGCTATACTTTCTTCGAGTGATCCCAACCTTGACACATTATTCCGACATACCATCTGGAAGTATAATTCAAATATTGGATATATGAATATAGTTAAATGTATATATATATATGAATATAGTTATATATATATATGGATATATATAAATATATATTAAATATTGGTATATATATATATATATCAAATATGGATATATATATATATGCTGACATTCTTTATGGCACAAACTCTCGGATTCCTTCTGGCATTCTATCTGGCATCTATTCTGACATACTTTCTGGCATATATGCTGGCTTTCTATCTGGCATCTATTGTATTCTATTCTGAATTTCTTTCTGGCATTCTTTCTGACATTCTTTCAGGTATTATGTCTGGCACCTATCTGGCATCTATTCTGACATTCTCTCCGACATGGGCACTGCCCGCTGAGGTCTGGAGCTCGCGGTTGAGGTCCGGCAGTGCCCACTGACGTCTGGAGCTCGCGGGTGAGGTCCGGCAGTGCCCACTGAGATCTGGAGCTCGCGGGTGAGGTCCGGCAGTGCCTAGTCGGTTGAGGTCCGCCGATCTAGGGCTCGCAGTTGAGGTCCGGCAGTGCCCACTGAGATCTGGCGCTCGCGGATGAGGTCCGGCAGTGCCCACTCGGTTGAGGTCCGCCGATCTAGGGCTCGCAGTTGAGGTCCGGCAGTGCCCACTGAGATCTGGCGCTCGCGGTTGAGGTCCGGCAGTGCTCACTGAGATCTGGAGCTCGTGGTTGAGGTCCGGCAATGCGTGAGGTTGAGGCCCGGATTTGGAGATAGCGGTTGAGGTCCAGCAGTGCCCACTGAGATCTGGAGATCGCTGTTGGGAGGAAGGAAGGAGAAGGAGGAGGAGGAGGGGAGGAGGAGAATCAATCTAATAATCACTGAAATCTAGAGACCCTATAAGGGGACCCTATACAATGATTTTCTGATCATTATATCGGGCTTTATCTCGTAATAAGGATCAAGCATGGGTTGTTATTGGAAACAAAACTAGCGCTCTCTTGAGATTCACCAGTTTCAGAGTTAGTGGCCCCGTTCCAAGATTTCCAGGTGGTTCCTTGTAATCTCTCGACTTCTCAGTGAATTCAATTGCCAGATCTTGTTCAATCTAGTTCAATGGATGTCCATTTGAGGGTCAGCGGCTCAAAGCGCATTTAGCCCTGACCTTCCCGGAACTGTTGCGACACCTGGAAGGTCGGGATCCTGGCGCCCACCTTATGACCTTACCCCACTTCTCTACATGAAATCCATGAAGATTCTGGCCATTTTGGCCCCGCTGGTGCTGGCGGAGCTGCTGGAGGACTCCTGCGGCAAAGCTGGCGGGTCGTCCAAAACGGCCGCCCTGCTGCAGCTGCCCAATGTCAATCAGAGCCAGAAATTGCGCCTTGGTTTGGTCGGGGTCTTTTGTTGGAGTCTGGGGAGGGTTCAGATGTTTCAGATAAAGCACAAAGAATGTCTTCATTTTGTCCGGCTTCATTGGTGAACTTGGATCGATGTTTTTTTCCTAAATGTCTTTTTTGGAAAAGGGGTGGTGTCATTGGAGCAAATATCCTGTTCAATTATATTTAAGGATGATTCGCCAACTTTTCTTGGTTTTCAGGATGGGTTTCTGGTGAGCCATGGAAATCATCTGGCCAAGTCGTTGGCCCGGCCTTGGCTAGGACGATCCACTCACTGGATGATGGGCTTCCCATGGCCCGAGTCATACCCTCTTGGTCCTCACCTCGAGCTGTGCAGCATTTATCTTCCCGCCAGATAGGGCTTCTGCTGAGCTCTTTGTTGGTCTGTGCAGCTTGAAGCAATGGGAGCAATGGGCTACCAAAAGACACTTCGCAATACCCCAGGTTATTGCCATGCTAAAGCATTCTTGAATACCAGTAGCGCCGCACAAGGCGGTGGCGGAAGTTTCAAAGATAGGACATTATAGGAGAGGTGAGTTGTTGTGATGCATGGGTGGCGGAGCGATTCCACTGATGGACCAAAAGGTGGTTGCAGTTGCGTTTTTTGGAGTGTTTGCAATGGTTGCGGTGGTCACCTACAACTGCTGGATGTAGTGTGGTGTCGTTCAGTTGCTGTTGTAGTTGTAGTTGTAGTTGTAGTGTAGTGTAGTAGAGTTGTAGTGACAGTGTAGCGTAATTAGTGTAGTGTAATTTTATTTGTAGTCGTAGCTGTAGCTGTAGTTGTTGTAGTTTGTAGTAGCAGTAGTAGTAGTTGTAGTAGTAGTAGTAGTAGTTGTTGTTGTTGTTGTTGTTGTTGTTGTGTAGTGTGATTAGTGCAGTGGTCAGTGTAGTGTAGTGTAATTGGTGTAGTGTAGTGTAAGTAGTGTAGTGTAATGTAATTCGTGTGGTGCAATGTAGCGTAGTATATTTGCATTTGCATTTGAAGCTGTATTTGTATTTGTACTAGTGTAGTGTTGGCGAAGTTGAAGTTGAAGTTGTAGTTGTAGTTGTATCTATCTATCTATCCATCCATCCATCCATCTATCTGTCTATCTATCTATCTATCTACCTATCTATCTATCTATCCATCTATCTATCTATCTACCTATCTATCTGTCTACCTGTCTAATCTATATCTATCTATCTATCTACCTGTCTAATCTATCTATCTATCTATCTATCTATCTATCTATCTATCTATCTATCTATCTGCAAGCTTGAAAACGAAGCTATTCTGCGAGACCTCCTCCATTTTTGAAATTGACAACATCAAAAGCGCAGCAATGCTGTGAGATTTTCTAAATTTTTGAACTTGACAATCTCTCGTACTGCGCCCGCCACACGAAATGCACCTTTGCAGATCCTCTTCAAATGTGCCACGCTTGCCAACGTTTTTGACATTGCTACAGAACCCTCACGTTTTGCTCACTTTTGGCAAGGTGCAGGATCCCTTACGCGAAACGACATCCGAACGTGCAAAAGTTGCCCGACCATGGTTTGTTCTTAGCATTTTGACTTCGAAATGTGGTTCGCGCCACAACGGCGTGCACTTTTTCAACCTTTCAACTTCCAAAAGTGCTCCGACACTGAAGTGCGTTCTGCATTTCGACTTCGACCTGTGCTTCGCGCAACAGCGGCGTGCGCTTTTTCAACATCACACCTTCCAAAGTGCTCCGGGCATGGTGTGTTTTTTGATGTTTTTTACATTTTGACTTCCAAATGTGCTTCGCTCCGCAAAGGCGTACACTTTTTCAACATCTCAACTTCCAAAAGTGTTCCGACGTTAAGGTGTTTTTGTTCATTTTGCCTTGGAAATGTGCTTCGTGCCACAACGGCATGCAATTTTTCATCTCTCATCCCGCCAAATGGCTCCGCACCCGCTTTAGCGAGCGTACTCTTCGACCCTCCGGAACCACAAATCATTGGAAAAACACACTGTTTCGCGATTTTTCTCGACCTTTTCGTGCACCTGCACCTTCTTTCTTCTGATCTGTCTCTTCTCTGGTCTTCTCTCTTCTTCCTGTCTCTTCTCTGACTCTTCCCACCTCTGCTTTTCATCTGTCAATATTGTCGGAAGTTTGATTTCTAAACTTCCATCGGCTATATTTCAAATTATTTCAATAAGGGAAAGGATGATACAATCCAATTTTCAGGGTACTTTTTTTTTTGGAGACGGGCCCGCATCTCCTTTTGGATTAACAAATGTCCTCTTGGGCATCCATGGACATCCTAAATACATCCCGATTGGTCCATCTGCTGGTTTTCAACCACTTTCGACCACAAGTGTGTAATCCTATATCAGTTGGAATAATATAACCCGAATTAACCTCTGGGTTGGTTACATCAACTTACATCCCCATTTCTTGGCCCATCCCCGAGGAATCACCCCCGATATTGCTTCGTAAGGTCCAGGTATACTGGGATAGGATGGGATATGGGTCAGGTAGAATGGGGCGGCATAGTGGAATGTCATACGATGTAATGGCTCTCCAACGGCTCTCCCATGGTTAGGAGGGAACCTATGGAGCTATGGAGCTGTGTGTGTGTGTTTTTTGGTAGGCGTGACGATATGATGGCGCAGGGCGTAGGGATCGGATTGGAATGGAATTCCAGGTTGGCCATGGCCGTCCAGCCATCCTAAATGCAGGGCACTGACACATCCCAGGTCATATTCAGTCACGTCTCCCACACGGAACTCATCTCATCCATTTGCTCTTGGATTGCTGCCAGTATTTGTACAAACCTGCTGAACAAAGAGGCTGCAAGCTCCTTTTCCGCGATGTGTTTGCTTCTTCAGCTGCATTTTCGGTCATTTTTTCTTTTCGGAATTCAAATTCCCCAATCTCCATGATTCAACAATTTGTATGGGCCGGGAAGTGACATGCCCCAGCTCCATCCAAATGTTTGTTGTATCAGGCTGCTATCCAGGCAAGAACCAATGGGGTTTCATGTGCATTTGTATGCATTTGTGTTGACCAACTCATCAAATCTAATACCCTCTGGTAATTTAACATAGCTATAGAAAATCACCATTTTTAATAGGTAAACCATCTATAAATGGGCCATTTTCCATAGCTATGTTAGTTTACCAGAGGGTAATTAAAAGTTACCATTTTGTGCTAGAATTGTTGCAAACTTGTTTTCTGGCGACGTTCCAAATGATCCCTGTTGAAGAAAAATGATGAAAAATGATGAAAAATGCAGGTTGGTGATCATTCAGATGTGGATTGCCAACGTGGTGGTGATCTTAATCCGTTTCGATGACTTGCAGCTACCGAGTGCCAGGGATTTCGTCCGTTGGCTGCCGGTGTCCTTCCTGGTATCTGGCATGCTGGGAACCTCCATCTTCGCATTGGAAGGTACAACAGTGAGCACCGTGTCTCAGCTGCAGTGGGCCTTGAGTTTTGGTCGTTTTTGCGGAAATTGAATTCCGGCCGGTCATTCTCTTTTGTGAGCTCTGCTGAAGTTGAATTCAGGCAAAGGTTCGCTTTTGCAGGCAGTTTTTCTACGAAAAGTCTGCGGTCCAACCGTGGCTTTGTCACTGCCAGGTGAATATCATTCGAAACGTGCTCCCCATCGTGACATTTATCTTGGAGAAGATCTTATTCAATAGTCCTCGACTGGTGAAACCCGGCCATATTTTGTCCATGGTGCTGACGCTCTTTGGGACGACCCTATATGGAATCTCCAACTTTTCTGTCACCACCTGGAGTTTGGTCATGATTTTGCTTGGTCGCTTGGCAGGACAAGGACCTAAGGACGAGGACAAGGACGATGAGAACGATCCTGATGATATTTTCATCGATGATGGTTAATGATTTTTCAGTCATTGTTATTATCATCATTGATGATGACGATGATGATGATTATGATGGTGATGATGATGATGATTGATGATTGATGATTGATGATTGATGATCGATGATTGATGATTGATGATTGATGATGACGATGACGATGACAATGATGATGATTGATGATGATTGATGATTGATGATTGATGATTGATGATGATGATGATGATGGTGATTGATGATTGATGATTGATGATTGATGATTGATGATTGATGACTGTGACTATGAACATGACTCCCGTATACTCCGGTTTTGGCGATGAAGCAACATGGATCCTTCGGTAAAACTGGGATCATCCTCGGCAGGGACGCTCCTGACAGTGGTCGACAAATTACTACAGCGGCACTTGCTCATGAGCCCTGATTTCAAGCAGCCTTTGGCGGTTTGTATGATCATGCCACCTGGCCAACTTGACATATCTTGACATTTCTTTTTTTCAGCCATTAAAATGAGAACCCCTGTTATTTTTGATGGGTTATGTGTTTTGCGTTACACTGTAATAATTATACTGGAATACTAATTGGTTTATCGGGATTTGTTATTTCAATATATATATATAGGGGATATCTATTTACCGACAGGATGAGAATATTTTTCATGGCTTAATTGTCACACCATTTTGAACCACATCCATCCAGATGACTATCCGGTGCTTTAAGTTTTGGGATCGGTTTGGAGCTATGATCGTATCCACATTCCACATTTTGCATGGGGAACCAAGGAGGTACTAACTTAAAGTTTCCTAACCACATGATAGATGATTTATGATCGGTGTCCCGATTAGAATGACCATTTGCGGTCCCCTGGGCTTAAAGTTCGACACAAATTTGAACACATATCCATAGATGTTCATTGCATATTGACATGTGGGTTTGTCTCAAAAAGGGGGTTTGCGAATCTGTGCTAATTTTGGTGGGAAAACCTACGCTATGACTATGATATTTTGAGGTTGAAACTTTTGAGGCCATCCCAGATGACAGAGAACTCAGCTTCGAAACCCACATTTGTCAGCATTATTTTCATAGAATCATCTAGGGGTTAACATGGGTTAACATGGGTTACCATTGGTTAACCTTGCCCCCCAAACGGAACAGTCTGGATTATCCTTAATGGTTCGGTTCGCGTTCCGATAAGCAACGTTCGGTTCGCGACGGTGGCGCTTCAGGAACAACACCTTCGGGATGCTTCCCTTGCTGCTGGTGGCGCTGATGACGGGTGAAAGCAAGGTCTGGCCTCGGCTGTTACCTGGATCGATGTGATGTTTTTCCGTTCAACAAGGACGGATTTATGGTTTAACATTGAAGCATACGGAAGTTGAACCTCAGCAAAATTTGGAACTGGAATTTCATGATTGAGGAGATGGGTAGTGGATAACCATACATGGAGGTGTCACAAGAACATATACGCAAACCAACTGGATGGATAGTTTAGTACACATTCATCTTTTGTATTCCTTTGCTATATTGGAACCTAACCAGCCAAAAGCCAGTCTAAGATTGGCTATGGTTGGTTCGTCCACCCCGTCCACCCCCAAAAAGGGAAATTACCATGGTCATAAATTTGGGTTTGCCAATGGTACACTAGAGTCAGGAGGCCCCAAACTGTCTTGTGGAGGTGGATAGACTCCTGCTACCAGTTTAATAATATATATATATACACAATATATGTATGAAATATATCATTTCCACCATTCTCATCCTGTTTATCAATGAAAAAAACACATTTTTTTGTGCCGTTTTTTTTTTGGCCGTTTTACTGCCGAGGCTAGAGGTTTCACCTTGGGGCACCTGGATGACCCTGGTGGGCTCGGGACTTTCGGGCTGCTGCCTGGGGTTCTACGGCCTGGCGGTGTCCAGGCTGATCACCGCAGCGTCCGTGCTGATGCTGCAGAACATGAGCAAGGCGGGCGGCTGGTGGATGGGTTTTTTATGCATTTTTTATGCAGAATTTTGGAGAAAACGAAATGTGAGGTAGATATGCCATGATCTAATTATAGCATTCTGGAAACACTGTTCACTGTTCGTTTTTTTTTGGGACTACTATACCATCTAAAAAGGTAGAACATTACATTTTTCTTGTGGGCTGATATATGTTTGACCGGCAAAAGGCTGTTCATATAGGGATGATACGTGATGATCCATCCCCACATGATTCATCATTCTACTAGTAATGATTAGGAACCAATGGAATGTTCCTCCAGGGAATTAGATGGTTCATCTCTCCAGGTGCTGGTGATTCTGCTCTCCGTGTTGCTGCTGGGCGACGATTTGTCTGGTCTTTCGGCGCTGGGCTGCGTGCTGTCCATGGTCGGCTCCGCGTGGTATGGCTACGTGTCGCTCAGTGGGCGCCAGGCAGAAGCACTGCTGGAGGCGCGGGAGGCGTGTGGCCAAGGGCAGGTGAAGGAGCCCTGGGGAGGGGTTGGGGGTGCTTGGGGGTCCAACTTCATCAGTGGGTAATAACATGTAATAATTAACCATGTCATGCCCCAGCTTTTTTTTGAGTTATACACGGGTTCTATATGGGTTATAAACTTGGCTTATAGATGGGTTGTATGTGGGTTATAACTGGGATGCATACCCAAGTAGATCGACTTTTGAATGGGGAGATAGACCAAGGGACGAGAATGGAGACGATTATAATATGTGGGTGACAGGGCAGGAAATTCTGATCCATACACGGACAATCCGTATAGAATGTAATATACTGCAATATGATGCAATATGAATATCTGCCTGTATAGTTACTTTTGAAACAGTGAAGCTGAGGATATTTGCGACAAAGACGGACTTTATGAAGAGAACTATGCATTTTACCACAGGCATCAGAGTGTGATTGCTCCATGGCAATCGTGGCTATAATTGGATGCTTCAACACAGCAACTCATCGGTCCTTATGTTTACACTCATCTCATATCATATATCCTTCCGAAATCTTCCAGGAGGACGCGCGTGAACGTGCTGGGGGCGCCTGAACTGGGCATCAAATTTCGAGATTTCGAAAGTGAAAAGATTCCGCAGCCCGTCTGCCCTGGGCTGTGCGTTTTCCCACTGCCACCTGCCCCCAAAATCAACATCTGAGTAGATAAGTTTAACATCCCAAATTGGACAATGAACTGGCTGGGCACTAATGTTGCAATTTCAAAAGTGGAAAGACAATTTGTCACTGTGATTTTTGGCTAGCATTTTTCATACCAGGCCCAATCTTGAGGTCGTGCACAAAATTCGGAACAAATGTTGCAGAGAGACAATGATCCTTGGCACAGTCGCCATGTTTTTAAGCCCAGCTGTTTCAGCCCATCCCCTGTTTCTATTATCCCACTGGATGGTGTTCCCCCCTCGCAGGTGATCAAGGAGAAGGAGTCTCAGAAACTCAAAATGTGCAAGACCGTCCCCAAGGTGACCGAAATCGACGGAACTGATGTGGGAGAAGTGTCCACCTGGATGAATAGGCTACTGAAATGAATACTGAAATTATTATCCCATCTGCTAGCTGTGATGCAAATCCAGGTCATACAAAGTACGAATTCTCCATGGTTGCTTTTGCCATAGGGTCAACCATCTAACTCTGAAACTTATATTAATTTTGTATTCCTTTGGGGTCCTTGATCTTGCCAAATAAATTGGTGGTTAATCCCTGCATTTTATTGTCATCTAAAATTAAAAGCCACATTTTGCTTGGTTTACAGCTTATTTATGTTCAGTCCCTTTTTGATTGGTTAACCGTTTAACCATGGTAACACCAGCTATTGAAAGCGATAAAGACATACATGAAGGGTTGGTTTTGAACCCCATGACTGGTTTCAAACCCCATTTTTGGGTGAAACCAAAATCTCCCAATCTTTCATAGGCGCGTGTCCGACGTGCCAGCAATGTTATGGAGAAGTTGAGCAAACTGCAGGAGACCGAGACCTGGAATGATGGGAATTGTTACCGGGTAGCTAGCACCACATGACCCAGGTTGGTGAGTTATTCTGATTCAGCCAGATTACATGACATGACATTACATTAATACATACTAATACATTATATAAATATCCTTTGGTAATCAAACGTGGCAATGAAATATCCCCAGCTATATATTGAGCAACTGAGCAACGGTCAAAAGAAAGAGTTTTCTGTACCAATGTTGGGGGATGGTCATCAATCCATTGACAATTTTTTTTGGCATTTTTTAAGGATTCCAATTATGGGATGGATGACCATACCCCATATAACCCATATATGTACCATGTTTTGACCATAGCATACATAAGTTTACACATATACACACATATATATATATATATATATATACGCGCAACGCCTGGGTTTTGCCCAGGCGTTGCAGCGTAGAGGTTTCCCATTCCCAAACAAATGCTGATGCAACTTCACAAAATTCCTTTGGGAAAAACAACAAAGGTACTAAAGAATATTAAGCTCCAACCCCGTTAGACCTTAAATTCCTATGGGAAAAACAGCAAAGGTACTAGGGAATATTAAACTCCCACCCCCGTTAAACCTTACATTCAATTGGGAAGATCAACAAAGGTACTAGGAAATATTTTTAAACAGTTCCCCATTTAAACTTTAAATTTCCTATAGGGAAAAAACAAGCAAAGGTCTCGGAATATTAAAAAATCCAACTCCGTTTCTTAAACTTTACATTCCAATTGGAAAGATCCGACAAAAGGTACTAGGGAATATTAAACTCCCACCCCCGTTAAACCTTACATTCATTCATTGAAGACCCCGTTAAATTTCTACATTCATTGAAAATCTTCAAAAAGGGTTTAATTCTCACCACCCCGTTAAACTTCTACATTCATTGAAGACGTTCAATAAGGGTTTACAGTAATTCTGATGATGATGATGATGATGATTGTTAAGAATACACCTGCACATGTACATGAGCTATACAGTTGCTGATACAACATGTTAGTCTACTTTGAGTACATGTCATGGTACGATACATTTGGGCTCCATACAGGGCCCTTGAGCTAGCGTTACTCGAGCGCTACAGTGAAAAGTACAGCGCGTGGGCTACAGCTGCTGAGAGTACAGACAGGGAAGTTGTACACTTGATTTCAACATGGTAGCGGAGCAGTGATCCCTGGACGATACAGGACAGGGTGAGCTCCAATACACATCGGCAACAAAGCTACAGCATTAAGGTGAGAACACACAACGACAAACATGGCAGCAGCTACAACTGGAGGAGACCTCAATGCGATGCACAGATACAAACTACCACCACCAGACTTTACAGGAGAGTACGCAACATTCGAAGAATGGAAACACAAGTTTGTGGCCTACTTGGGGCTACAGAATTCACAATTCCCCAGGCTCCTACAGATAGCAGAAACATTTGATCAACCAGTTACAGATGAGCTTCTAGCAGACGGTGCAAGAAACAGAGAAGAAGCAGACCTTTGGATACAACTCAGCAAAGACCTACACTACCTACTCATCAACGTTTGTCAAGGACAAGCAGCTGTCCTTTGCAGACAACATACACTACAAGCAGTTGGTCTCGAGACATGGAGACAACTACACAGACGCTTTTCAATTCCACTTGGTACACGCAGTGTCGGGTACCTTACAAAGCTTTTGAAACCACAGTTCAACGAAAACAAATTTGAGGAGTCTTTTACAACATGGGAATTTGAAATAGCAAGATACGAAAGAGACAACCAAGCACCAATACCTGACAACATCAAAATTGCAATACTACTCAATGAGACCAAAGGACCACTACAGCAATACCTACAACTACGAGCAGGAGCCATACAACGATATGCAGACATTCGAGAACTCATTCTCGAATACCACAGAGCATCAACAGCGTTCTCCAAGATGCAAGCACAACAACAGGCAATGAACAGCAGCACAAATGATGCACAGCCCATGGACATTGGAGCTACGTACAAAGGAAAAGGAAAGTACAACAACAAGGGTAAAGGAAAGTACAACAAAGGAAAAGGAAAGATACAATGGCACAACAAAGGAAAAGGATACACAGGATACAGCCAACAAGGATACAAAGGCAAAGGTCCAACACCGATTGGACATGGCAACCCTTTCAAGGGAGCAATGCAGTACGAAGGAAAGAGCAAAGGAAAAGGACCACCACAATGGCAAAGTACAACAATGAACAAAGGCAAAGGAAAAGGAACATGTTACAAATGTGGTCAACAGGGCCACTATGCAAGGGACTGCAGAGTGGCAGTCTACAACGTCACAGACATGGATGAAGGCACAGACCAGTACAACCAACAACAGTCATACTACCAACAACCATGGACAGAACAAGAACAGTGGCACTACGAGGAACAATGGTTCCCAGATCACCAACAGTGGCAATATGACCAGCAACAGCAAGCGGCATACAACCAGGAACAACAGCCACCACAGATTTCTACAGCACCAGCGCAGGTAGTTTCCACAGTAGACCATTGGAACAACTACAATTGCCTCAGTCACAACCACAGGCCTCAACACCTACAAGACTGTCGCGCTCATGATCGACAGTGGCGCAGCAGTACATGTCTGTCCACCAACCTTTGGTACAGACTTTCCACTGATGCCTCTTACAGAGGAACAAACACCACCACTTCGCTCAGTTACAGATGAGCCCCTTTGGGTTCTTGGATACAGATGGGTGCGCTTTAAAAACATACAAGGACAACACTTGGTGATGCCATTCTACGTCATAGATGGCATACGACACCCCATCGTCAGCGTTACAAGACTCCTGGAACAAGGTTTCGAACTCAACCTCAGAGGTACAGAGTGTATTACACACAGGAATTATGGAGATGGGTTTCACCTCGTCGCACCACTATCAAGCCCCCTTTAACCGACATCCGACTACTCTTGCTTTACATCCACTGGAAACAGACCACCAATTTTGTTCGAAGAAGGAGGAAAAAAAACTTTTTTCTTCTGGCCTGATATCCTTTATTTAATAACCTTTTTTTTTTATCTTTTTTTTTTTTCAGGAAAGTGGGCACACTCGCCCATACTCCCCATCTCCCCTTCTGTCTTTGCACTCACTTCCAACCAACACTACAACCCTTTACAGCAACAGGATCCTCCCCCCCCCACTACCTTGACCTATTCAGTCCTTGACCCTCCTCCCCTGGCGACCCCGCTTTTCTCCCCCCCCTTTTTGTCTTTCGTTTTGTTTCCCTTTTTTTTTTCCCCCCCCCCCCAACACATCACGGACTTCTGGAAGTACAACGAACAAGGATACCTGGTCAGGGTACACAAGAGAGGAAGAAAGGCATTGTTCACACCAGGATACGGCAACCAATCAGCATGTCCAGTACAATTTGACAGACTGGACGACTACAGGAAAACAATTGTCTACAAGGAAAACGGTACGCAGACAGTGCTTGAAGACAAGTTCAAGTCACTCACTAAACAGGAAGCAAACAGAGAGGTTACAGGTACACAATGGCAAGGAGAAACATGGTTCAGGATTCTTCCTGACAAGACAACAACAGGCCAACAGAAACAGGATACAAACAAGGAACAACAAGTTCAGAAACGAATGGATGAAGGAAAGGAAGTGAAGTACAGACACACGTACAAGCAGCAAGAGAAAGAAGACACACTACCAACACCAATGCAGATGGATGGTACAACAGACTACTGGATCAAAGAAGGAAGGTTTTGGAAGAGAGTGCATGTGAGACCAAGGACAGAGTTCTACACACCGACGCCTGAAGACAATGGACCAGATGTCTACAAACTGCCCCCATACAGAGCAACACACATACGAGAGGAGCACAACATGAGAAGAATCGAAGACGATTGGACTACAGAACCACAACCAACAAGACAACAAGAATGGACAGGATCTACAACCTTTGAAGAAAGAAGAGAATATAGAGAAGAAATGCCAACAGAAGAAGAAGAAGATGAACAACAGAGCGCAAACAAAGCGAAAGCAATGATGCAACCGGTACAACCTACACCGCAGGAGATACAACAGCACAACCTTACACACATGC